AAGTCCAAAGGTACCCAGTCCAGGCCGCCGGTCAACCACACACACTTGTTTGTATGCAGGTACCCAGACAACATCTAGTCCAAGGGGGAATGTTGCAACTGTACAATCCAGACCTTCGACTGTGACTCAATCTGGACGACTGAAGGGAGGAGACCCGAGGCCAGAGAGCCTCGTCAAACACTACTTAAAGTCTGGCCTTGAGGTGGTCAACATTCAGTCTTGCTATGCTGGTTCAACACTGCCTTGACTTTGACTTGACGCTGGCATTATGCTAGCACGACGCTGGCTAGACGCTGGCTGTGCATCAGAGCTGCGGACGACGACACGTGGGAGAAGCAGCACGCTGGCATTGTACGTGGCGCTGCATGTGGTCTTCATGGCATGCTGATAGGTGACTGATTGCGAGGGAAGAGGAAGATCGGGACTGTGGAGAGATCGTGAATACGTACCTGGTTGTCTTCATGTTGACATTGCTCCAGTGCTGATGAGCGGCTAATGAGACGTGCCACGTGGCACATTGAGGTTACTTCAGATACTCGTTCAGACTGTTGATTATTAAAGTGGTGTTGGAGGAGGGAGCCCGAAGCAGGAGTGGGCATTGTTTCCTCTCCTTTGTCTAATCCCCCTCCTCTCTTCTTCATCTGTGTATGATTATCTCGTCTCATTCTGTCTGGACACAAACTTGATTATTGGTACTCATCGTTTGTTGACATTCATCTGGACTTGCATTGTTGATAACTGTCTTCACGATCTGGGTTCATTGCAAAGGCCGTGCCTTCGAGGTAACCCCGCCAAGATCACATGCAGGCCAGCCTCCATTCTTGGTCGGCAACGCACTAATATACTACGCCAATGCCATACCATCATTTAGCCTGATGATGCGCAATAACTGTAGGTAACTACCGACTAACCTCAACAACGGCAAGCAAGAGGCTTAGCAGAGGACGTGCACACTCGCCACAGATAGCCACCCAAATCAAAAAAGGAAAACTTCCCACTCATCCTATTTTAATCACAGTAACTCACCGGCAACAAAGCCGGTCCACATCTCATCAGAATCACGCGCGCATCAAAACATCGCGCCCACACACTCTCTACTTTCCGTCAAACAGTCGCACGTGCTATCAGCTGTAGAAAGAAAAATCCGGCCGCGACTCGCACAAACCTGGTGCCACCACGAACCTTGACCTTCCAAGCATGAATGCTTGGGCGTACCAGGTCAGAGCAGGGAGAGGCACCATATGAAATTGGTGTGCGCCAGACCTTGTTTTGGCAGACTTGGTTTTCCCTCTTGGTTTCTCAAACACAAAACCTATCCCACGTTCATGTTTTTTTCCTTTCTCTCAACAACTTTCGTCTAAAGAAAAAAGAGAAAAATGACCGAAGTGGCAATGTTGGCACGAATACCCTTACAGGGTATCTGCCCTTGGTTTTGCAAGTAACAGAAATGAGTTTTTACTTGAAAGATGGTTGCCACTTCGGTGATTTTTCTCTTTTTTCTTTAGACGAAAGTTGTTGAGAGAAAGGAAAAAAACATGAACGTGGGATAGGTTTTGTGTTCGAGAAACCAAGAGGGAAAACCAAGTCTGCCAAAACAAGGTCTGGCGCACACCAATTTCATATGGTGCCTCTGCAATCAGACTCGTTTTCAAACACACTTTTCACACATGTAAACAGTAACACAGCACACTGGCGACATGCGCCCACTCAAAACTCAGAGATATGGCTTCAGATACGAATTCACTCTCAAATGGCTATGGCGACTTCAGCGCCCAAACATCTCACTGTTCACATACACTGGATCACCCTGGATATCCCACACGCATCACTCTAACACTCGAACACAACACACACT